CGATTCGAGATAAAAAAGAACTTTTAGTTCTAGCTCTCTTATTCCATCTTGATTACAACCTGAACTTTATTATTTTCAGTTCACCGTTGATGCAAAGCTCGCATTTAGATTGCAAAACATGGCCGGAGGGGCCATACCCCCGCTTTTTTGTAAGCTATAGTATTTCCAAAGAGGCCCTGTTTTGAAGCACTAAATTCATGCTCGACTTATAGAACTTGGTCCCTCCACCTTGAAATTCGTGGTGTTGGCCCTGAGAAAAGGTCAACTAGATTTATAAATTTGATCCCTACTGGAACTATCTCACGAGCACGCTTTTTCAAAAGTTTATAAATCTTCAAAAGTACCTACCAATTTCGAACTTTTGAAGAGATAGTGTTTATTTTCAATTACCCTGGGTACTAGAGCAATAAATTTTCGAGCAAGGAAAAAAAGATGCTCCTCCGCTTTGTTTTCCATTTCCATGCTCGAAATTTTATGGCTCTGGTACCAGGGACAGGGTTGCCAGATTGGCCTTTTCCAGGCCAAATTTTCCAATTTTGGCTTTTTCCAGAGTTAAATTGCCTGGAAAATTTCTTTTTGGCCTACTACTTAAGTTTGGCCTTTTTGGCCTTTTTGAATTTAATGAGTTTATTCCTTAAACATTAACACCCTAAGTAATAAAACAAATTATGAATTGAAAGAGCAATGCTACACAGTGTAAATTAAAATGTCTAATATTGTCGGTTAACCTTCCGATTAGCAGAGGAATTTGTTTGAAGGAGAAAGTTTCTTAGTTTCTTGCTTGAGTTTGAAGGCTAATATGTGGAAATATATACTTCGCTTTGTGCATTGTGTTTTTGGGGTTTTTTTAATTTGTCCTTTTCATGAGCAATTTGGCCTGAGTTTGTCACCCGTCTGGCCTTCTTTTGTAAATGCCATCTGGCAACCCTGACCAGGGATTTAGTCGTAAAATTTTAACAAGGGGTCTCTATAGAATTTCTAAGTTGTTTTTGTCATGTAATCATTGCAATATGACGAGGGCTGGTGTTTTTTCCAATACACAGCCAGGCTGTTCAGCCAGGTACATTGACTGTTTGAGCGGGCAAATGACGTCAGAACGTCGATACCATGGGAAGGCCCGGGGGAAATTTCCTTGCAAGTGAGGGGGTAAAATGTTTATTTTGCTCAGAGGTTTAATGAATGCCGCTACCATGGTTGGGGGCGAGAAAAATTTGGGTATATGACATTCTAAGACTGTCCATAAAACGCATTTAAAATATTTACAGGGTCGATAAGGAAGAACTTTCTTTTTGATAACAATCACCCATTGGTTAGATTTTGAATTGACACATTTTCCCTCGTTTTAACAAAACTAAGGAAACATTATCAGTTGATGAACACTGCTACTAGAAATTCCATGGCAAAAATTGTACTGTTCTTATAAAAAAGAGTCTAGTTCATCAAATATTAAAAGTGGCTGAATCCAAGAGAGTCAGATAATAGCACCCGGTTGTTGAATAAAAAACAGTCTAAACAAAACTGTAACTAAACGTACTCAGTAAGAAACATTCAAGAATTTTTATCGAAATATGACAAACTTTTTGTACATTTCATGCACAAAAAGGCAATGCTTTTAAATCTATCAGTTGTTTTTTTCATTTCTGGTTTAGTCGTCAATGGTTGACCTGTGGTGAAGTAACAGTTTTTTACAGCTTTCTTTGCGTTACACGATTCTTGGCTGTATCCAAGCACAAATGATGAGGGGGGGGGGGGGTGTTGGTACATCGAATTGGATTGGATGTTGGTACATTGGTACATTGAATTGGATGTTGGTACATTGGTGTTTTTTATTGTCCCCTACGCAATATATAGTTACCCTAATCGAGCCTTGTAAGACCCTAAACGATTATTCCAGATGTGATGAATATTCTCTAACCTATGCTCACAAAGAAAGCTCAGCCTGATTTTTCAAGCTCTGCTGCTGCCATAGATTAGACAAATAAATTAATGTCGTTGTCGCCTTTGTAACCAGAGGTGAAAAGTCTAGCAAGAAAGTTTTGTCTACTGCCACTAGACTTAATAGCCATCTATGCAAATTCACATAACAGTTCGTTTCCTATGCAATATATCGTTACCGGTACCTTTTTTACAAAAACCAGATGAATTCGCCCGAGGCTCGATGTAGTTATTTTTCCATAATTTTAGGCTTGAATGTTCTTCGTTCCAAAATTGATTTTTCTTAAAGCTAATACTGTAGAATTTTAGAAATCATAAGCCAACAGTTTCCATGGTATTTAACTCAAAATCAAACTCAAACTGAACACATTTTTTCAGCAAATTTATTAATTACATGTTACATCATTTAAGATAGTTGTTCATAATTCACTTATTAGATCCCAAATTACAAAAACAACAACCTACTGACGGACACATAGAAAAACTCAAGATAGAGCTATCAAAGCCATGTGCCCAGTTGACGTGATTTGACGATTACAATTTATTTATTTTGGTCTGAATAACAGTAAGAATGAGATAAGAGAAATACAAATGAAACTAGTACATTTAAAAAACACTGAGTTCTTTTTCTACTGATGTTGTTAATTTGCTTGCGTTGTTAATATTCATCTGTGACAAGTGGGGCCTCGGTGTTCTTATAATCCGCATTCTTATTAAATAAAGTTTGGTTGCTGTAATCTGGGTACAAATTGACTACAGATGTCCCTGTGTTGCTATACGGATGGAATGGGGATGGGCCATAGCATAGTGTTGAATTTCATATGTACCACCGCCGATGTAAGTTATACAGGCAAAGTGATATGTGGGACAGAGTGCTCCTTAAACCTCAACCTAGTTTTAAAGAGATAAGATTTTTTATTTTGGAACAAATCTGCGGATATTTTTACACACTCCCTGAATAACGGATTTCTGCCTTGTCTGCGATTTGCATATTATTGTCAAGGTGAGCTGGTCATCATTATGCGTGGAAGTAGCCGTAGATCTAAACGTGGTAGGCCCAGCGCCAGCAGCGAAAACGGCATGGCTGGCTCAACAACTGAAGAACTTTTCTGGGATATCGGTAAGAACGATTTTTGTTTTGTTGTAGACATGATGGCGGTTGTTAACAATTCTTCAAGCAACATATTAATGAGTAGATTCTGTTCAGTAATAGCTTAGGCCTATTGTTGTGTTGGTTGGTGTTGCCGTTGTTATTTGCTTAAAGGTGAATACCAAAAAGTTTACCAAAATGATAACCAAAATTTGTTTTTCGCTATCTTCATTACCAAGGCTCATTAGAAACAACTAACACGTTTTCAGCATTTTGTAGGAAGATCTTAAAAGCTTATCTATACAGTTGAAAGCTAGCGAAACGCCTAATGGGACGTAAGGCCTGATAGGAAGTTGAATCAAACACCAAACTTTTTTACCTAAATATTTTAACAAGAATTACACAAGTCCTTGAGGATCACGGTATAAGAAATTTGTCTTTAGTATCAATCTCGTGTATTTTCGAGGAACATTTTGTATCTACACAAAAATGTTGTCGGATTTTTCGGTTGGCCTAGCCAAGACAGCCTCCGCCCAAATATTGGTTCAACCTTTCAATGGTTGGCCTTTCACACAGGTATTTGTGGCTTTTTGAGTTTGAAACACAATCGAAAAAAATAAATTCGTGGTATTTTAGCAAAATAATCCTTGGTATGTTTCCTGGCCTAGTCCACCTCTCCTTACATGTAAACACAAACCCGAAACCTGACACCAAATACATGTGGTTGACATATTTTCGCAATTAGCTTTTAATATTAGTCACCTTGTAGAAATGGTTGCGGAAATCTTTCTTTCAAGGTGACTAGAATCAGATTAACTTATTGTTTTACTGGCAGGATAAATATCAATTTATCATCTCACACATGTAACATGATTAAGAGAATTAAAAATGTGAGAGAACTGTCTGTTGTTGCTTTGAAAACTTCACTGTAAACCTAGAAGGAAAAGTAAATCTGATTTTGTCAGATTATGTCGTCATTTGGTTTGTGATAATTTAAAACACAGACGGGGAACAATTTGTAATGCTATTTTTAGAGTTTGTTATAACCATAGGGAACCAACTAATACTGTCCAAAAGCTTATGAAAATCAGGGTTGCAACAAAACATGGCCAATGCCATTGACATATCTTTTGGCATCAGGGTTGGCCTACCTGTTGGCATAGCAATGGTGTACATTTGGGGTAGCAATGGCATAGCACAGAGCAATTTGGCATGGCTTACCACATATTAATTTGGTGTAGCAATTGTGGTAAAGGCTTGGTGTACCTTTGTACTACAACAAAAAACTTACAGAAAAGAAAAATTGCCTTAGCTTTGCATTGAAAAGCTACTATATTCTTGATGGCAAAAATTGCTATATTGAATTATAGAAAGAAATAAATCAATAAATTATTTACTCAAAAGATCTAGTATACAACTTACCTGTTAAATTTGAATGCATATTAACAAGTTCTGTTGTGCAATGATATAGTTACATAGCCTGAGGCCTATATTATGGTCAAACATAAGTTATATTATGTGAAAACAACATTTAAATTGAAATTTGTCAAAAACCATAATTCCATATTGAAAAATATGCTGAATTGACTACTTCAAATCATTAGCCCTGTTAACAAATAAAAGCTGCAAATAGTCTTATTGGCCCTTTTAAGATTGCATTGAATGTGGGTATAATATGTAAAAGAATCTGGAGGAATGGTTTGTGTTAATTCATTGAGATGAGAAGCTTATTCATGATCTATGATGATGACATAGTGACAGACAGAGTATGTCTTTGGTTGTTATTTGAACTATTGTTTGTAAGCTTCAGCACTTGGTTCTCTTCCCGCTACTTTGTACTTTGCAATAAGTTTATTTGCAGTTCCTTCATAAATTTTTCCAGGTTTTGTTTCTTTTTACTCAGCAAACAATGTTTTTATGCTATAGTTAGTTCCTTTCAAAGTTTTGGATTTGGATCTCAAAAATTGCTTTAGGGTCATTCCATATCAAAGGAGGACAGGCATGTAACCCAAAGTCTTAGAATTTGCTCATCTTTTGTGGAAAAGTGGATAACCATGAGATAAACACATATACAAAATTTTACTTCAAAATCTTTTGTTGTTCTAAAAATAGAGCATTTTGAAATTTTGCTGATTCTCGGCATTTTTTCCAATGTCCGCCATTTTGAATATAACCCAGAGGTTAAATATACTAAATAAATGTCTCTACTTAGCATCTTGATGTCAAAATCATGTTTTTGACTAATTTATGTATCAGGATTTCAAAAAAAGTTATAAAAAATTTGTGAGACACACCCACAGTCTGTAATTAACTACTTAATGAGGAGCAGTTGTTGTCATAGCAACGAGTTGTCAAGATGTTATGCAAATTTTTGTCATGCTGCACACCTGTGATAAATTTCAAATTTTCTAAGCACGAAGCTATAGTCATAAGTAACTCTTTTACAAAGAATTAGCAGGGTTATATTTGTCTTTACAAAATTACAGCCCTAGAAATGCTAGGTACTGTGAATGCCTCTTTCGTCTTCTTCGCCCTGTTAAAAATTAGCAAATGCTAGCTGAAAAAATTTTGAAAAATATGTAAAAGCAGGGACTGATCTTTTGAGGATCTTTGTGTGTTACAATTTATCAGCATACTGCTAGAATAATGCATATAAATCAGTTTGGGACATGGGTGTGGACATGGGTGTTGGCTAAGGGTGTGGAATGTATGCTGAACGGTTGTAAGGGGCTTGGGGGCTGTAAAACTTGTATTGGTAGGGAGCTGAGGCCTGTTCTCTGTAAAAATTTTATGGTCATCATATAAAAAAGTCATGATACACCTTAAATATAATTAGCAACTTTAGCAACATCTCTGTCACAGAGGTAATATTGTCTGCCGGACAATGTTGATGTTCTTGGTGCTTCAACCATCATGACAACATTCTCTATAGGTACCCAGCATATGTCTTCTCTTCTGGGCCATGCAAATGAACAGCTTGGTAAGTGTGGGTGCAAGAAATTGACTTTTGCATCTTTACTTTCAGTGTCTAATTCACTTAAAAGCCCAAGCCAAAGAAAGTCATCATACGAACAGACCAAAAAACATCCAACACGGAGCTTTTCTTTGATTTTTTCATCTTTCGTTGGCTCTCCAGTAAGACTGAACGTTGCTTCAAAGTTGGTATCAACTGATGTTCGTTTCACACCAATTTTTCCTTGTGATAAAGGGATAAATTGATGGAAGCTTCTTGTTCCTGGGACCGTCCTAGCTTTTGCAAAGCGGGTTTCCATGCGTTTTCTCGTTTGTGATATCTCAATTTGAGAGATAAAGAAAAATTGAATGCCAGAGATAAAATTTGAGCAAAATTCCATCATATGGGTTGCAGACAAAATTTGATTACCTGGGGGGCGTTGTAAACTGGCTTTTGCCGTGAGGCGCTTGACTGTCCCACCTATTCCATCACATGGGGATTTCCCGTGGCTGGTTGCAAAAAAATTCCACTGGCAATCAATTCCAAAATCCTCTCTATGGTAGCACAAGTTTAGAAAATTTTTGCAGTTTTTATATTGGCCTGCACAGCCATCTGAGAAGTAATGGATCTTTGATATGCCAGTGGATATTGTTTCCTTGACGAAGGTAGCAGTACCTTCCATGACATCATGAACAAAACTGACATCATGCTCCAAGTCATCAGAAATAAAGCATAATGACTCTGCTGTTATTGCTGAAGTTTCATTGCAACGATGATATATAACCACGGGATGCAATGAGCATTGCTGCTGATTCCAGTGGTACCCCTGGGCCTCATCTTGAATCAAAAATTTGTAGTTCTCTGCGAAGTCTCCAAGAACAATAACCTCATCTTTTTTTACGTCACTTTTCAAATTTTTCAGATAACTTGCCTGGGATTTTGCTATAAACGAATGTGATGTAATTGCATCAAGTTTTTCGCACAAGACAGCAAGGAATTCTTCTACAGTTGATGTTTGTGTCACCAGATCTGTACGATCAGTACTAGTCCACTGTTGAAAGGTAATGGTATCATGCATCATAGAAGCCTCTTCTTCCTCATTTTCATCAGGTTTATGGTCACTGCTATCACCATCTTCAAATTCTCCACCATTGCAAAACATCCTCCGCAAAAAACTTTCAACATTTTCGATACCAGGACAGTTTTGACATCTGTGGATCATACACTGCTTGTTGTTGATATCACAGACAACCATTTCCAAGATCTCATGATAATGATCCTTAAGTCCTACTACATCAAGTAATAATTTTACATTTTCATGGTGTGTGCAAACGCAAACTATGTGGCTACCTTTTGGTCCAACTGGTATGCACCATTTTGGTCGAAGAGCAGCAAATGTGGATAAACCAATTTTGGCATCTGGATGCCTAGCTTTAAAGGCTGCATAGAGTTCCTTTAAATTACCAAGGATAAGTCGCTTTGACATGTACTGCATTTTGCCAATGCTTACGCAGTCCTTCTTGCCAGGAAGCTGTCTCGTGTATTCATCGTCACAATAAAAATCCTGCACTAGCTCTCTTATTGTCTCTTGAATTCTATTACCACCAGCTACATCTAGCATTTCGAGAATGCCCTTTTGCTGTTTAAGAACCCTTGCTTTTTGAATTGTTTGCTTTGATACATTGAATTCGGCAGCAGCTTTCCTTACACTCCAGGAATCTGGAACCAATGTCAGCACCTGCAACGTCTTGCTTCGATTTGATATTTTCAATTTTTTTTTCATAAGCTCAACGAGCTCGTCAAGGTCTCTAGCTTTTTGCATCAAGACTTCACTTTGCTCTTGCTGCTTTCCATCATCTTCAGTTAATTTTGTGGTGTCAACTTCTAAGACCTTGGCAACCTTCTTTGAGAAAGCTTCTTTGACCTGTGCTAACTTTCGTTTGCCATGACTTAACTTTGCATGCTTTGGTAGAGAATGGAGCTTGATAGGTGAGACTTCTATATCCTCCAACGAAGCATTTAAGCTATCTCTGTCTGTTTCAGTTGGTGCATCTTTATCACATACTTCATCATCATTCACTTCGTTATAAACCCCAGATTTTCTCACATCATCATGAATTCTGGTAGTTGCCTGTATACGACAGTTGGGGCAAAGTTTTTTACCAGGGACGATATGGTAACCAAGATCGGAAAGCTCCTTTGCAAGGGATAGCTTTACCTCCTTTAACCCACCTAAAAGGTATAAAGGTTTCAGTGACATCACAAAAAGAGATACGAACACTTGACATTATTTGAATTTTGCCTTGGTTGGAAAGAACTGTTCAATACACACATTAGCATGAAGAACCACAATGAAAAGCACAGGTTTCATTTAGAAAAGAAAAGAATTGCGTTATTTGAGTGTTGATTGTAAAACATACTTCAAAGTCAAAATCATCTCTTTTTGTATCCGTTTCTATTTTATTCCTTTAACGATATATTTTGTCTGGGGCCACGTTATTTCTTTTTTCAGACAACTACTTGTAAAAATGCTTCTTATCATGAATAACGGCCCAAGAGTCACCATCAGATTCAAAATGCAATTAGAAATCGATGCATAATGCTATTTTTACTCACCTTTTACTTCATTTTGATGGGCTTTGAAAGGGTTGCAGCAATTCTTTTGGTATAGCAAAAACCTCTGTGTTACAACTTTTTCATGATGAAAGCATATATCTGCATCGACATTGAGAATAGAGACACCTGTCCTCCACATTATAACTTCTCTTGCATCTACATCAAATGAATCTAGCTTTTTAAGACCGACTTTCCTACAGAACTTCAACTGATGACAAGAATCTCCTAAGTATTCTCCTACAGTACAGATCTTTGCGCTTGCCATGATTCTGTTTTGCATTCAAACGAATTTTTGGCTGACTACCACTGCTCTTTCAGTTATCAGAAAATGTTAATAAAGGAAATGAATGACAACTGAAACAGCTGAGATCGCAACTGCGTTGAACTTATGAATTGACCCTTAGAAAGATTTCCTGTGAAAAGCTGTATAATACACAAAAGGGAAATCAGAAGTCTAATATGTTGATGTTTTAGGGAAATCAGGAATCTAACACGTTGGTGTTATAGGGAAATCAGGAATCTGGCTTGTTGGTGTTAACAGAGGTCAGGAGTCTCTATCAGGGTCACTAGTTTCCTGCATCCGGCTCAGCTATGTTTTGTTTCCGTTTTAGAAATAAGTGAAGGAGAGGGTTCATTCAGAAAAAAGTAACCACGAAATATGACTATTCTGATATGCATTAAATCTAGAACCAACAAGTTTATCATAAACAGCAGCTTGATAACTAAACTAACACATCTACTAGACTTGGAGATTTTACAGAGGACAGGCCTCAGCTCCCTATCAGTTTATATTTTACAGCCCCCAAGCCCCTTACAACCGTTCAGCATACATTAGCCAACACCCATGTCCACACCCATGTCCCAAACTGATTTATATGCATTATTCTAGCAGTATGCTGATAAATTGTAACACACAAAGATCCTTAAAAGATCAGTCCCTGCTTTTACATATTTTTAAAGAAATTTTCAGCTAGCAATTTGCTAATTTTTAACAGGGCGAAGAAGACGAAAGAGGCATTCACAGTACCTAGCATTTCTAGGGCTGTAATTTTGTAAAGACAAATATAACCCTGCTAATTCTTTGTAAAAGAGTTACTTGTGACTATAGCTTCGTGCTTAGAAAATTTGAAATTTATCACAGGTGTGCAACATGACAAAAATTTGCATAACATCTTGACAACTCGTTGCTATGACAACAACTGCTCCTCATTAAGTAGTTAATTACAGACTGTGGGTGTGTCTCACAAATTTTTTATAACTTTTTTTGAAATCCTGATACATAAATTAGTCAAAAACATGATTTTGACATCAAGATGCTAAGTAGAGACATTTATTTAGTATATTTAACCTCTGGGTTATATTCAAAATGGCGGACATTGGGAAAAATGCTGAGAATCAGCAAAATTTCAAAATGCTCT